AATTATGAAAACAAATACAACCCTTTTGGAGACGACTCGATAAAGTCCGATACTGTTAATTTTTTTTCCCATAAGAAGTAAAATGAGCACATCATATCCTTTTCTTTCAAAAATTAAATCCTGTAAAATTCTTGGGGATGAATCTACAGACACTCGCTGATCACTCGCTAAGAAGAACCAACTAAGGTAGCAAGCAAAATGCCCTACTGATTGGGGCGCATGAGGTGAGGTCCTCCCCTGCGCCTCCTCCAGAGCTCACGAGGTAGATGCTAGTGTCAGTGAGGCGTCTCAGCGAGAGTGACCTCCTGGATGACTTCACCGCGACCTCAACACCAGCTGACAGGCCTTGGATGCGCGTGTGGTGGCTGGACTGGGCCTCTGGGCACTGGCTGATGGGTTGTGGAAGCTGGGGCACGTGCGCGGGGCCCTACGAGCTGGTCGCCGCCGCCGCCTCCTCCGCCGCGACGAAGGCCGGGGTGAGGGACAGCAGCTGGGAGGCGCCGTTGAAGCAGGCCGAGTAGAAGGCGGAGGCGGTGTCGGTGGACAGCAGGCACCACACGCCGTACATGAGGCACAGCTGGACGATGCGGTGCAGAACGTGCATCCGCGTCAACATCTTCTTGGCGAACGGGATGGTCGAGAGCTCCTCCTTCATGATGTACTGTTTGCAACCCTTCTGGTACGTCTGGATGTACGTGTCCCAATCGAGGTCCTTGACGCTGAAGTGGTAGATGTCCTGGTCAGTGGGGCTGAGGGACCGCCACAGGGCGTTGGTCTTCGAGGTATGGAAGGTCCAGTCGCGCAGCATGAAGTACTCCAGGGCGCTCACGGCCTTCACCATCTTGTTGCACAGCTTCACGGCGCTGCAGGAGGACACAGATCGAAATGATTAACCACAATTATCAACTCTAACACTAATTTCATTATCTTCATAAATATTAAATCAATTTCTCCACAATTATCAATAATATCAAATTCATTATCATCATAAACCCACTCCCTCAAAGATTACGTCCACCAACTAAGACCCAATAAACCGAATCACCTTTAAAAGAAAACCCAATAACCCGAATGACCTTGAAAAGAAAACCCAATAAACCGAACATCGAAAACAACGAACATTAAAACGAAACTGAACACCCACCCCCACAGAACCAGAACGCGGGACTTAAAAACTCAAAAACTCAAAACTTACATGGGCTTTCTCCCCAAGATTCTCATGATGGTGTCGGCGATGTAAGCTGGGATGATGTTCACCGCGTAGACGTGGAGCTGATGCAGGAATTTGATGTTCTTAGCCGAGCCGTCCGGATACCAGAGGGGGTAGTTGAAGGGGTATTTGCGCACCGACTTCTTCAGGTGTTCTGCCAGCTCCTCGATCGTCAGGGGCTGGTCGGTTCCGGTGGAGCAGCAGTAGATGGGCACGTTTTCTGGCCTGCAAAGTGGTTCAAGTTCTCTGTTACTGTCATCACTCCATTTTAAAATAATAAAAATTGCATTCATGTACTTCTGTTAACGTTCTCTAAACGTAGCATCACATGAAAATGGGAAAAACAGAAAACAGCAAATAAGTAAATACATGCATAAATAAACAAATTAAGAAAACATAAATAAAGAAATAAACAAACAAATAAAATCCCAACAAACAAACTAACCACACAAAAATTGACATTAAACAAAAACAAGATAAAACAAACTAAAAACTAAACGCAACCAACACGAAAACGCAAAGCACAGGCCACCCACTTGTATCTCCCGACGGCCGTGTTCCAAGCCGACACGATCATGAGGTTGATGGGGACGTCGACTGGGATGAAATCGAGCTTGATTCCGTTGCTGACGTACAGGGACCGCAGGACGCCCTTGCCCATGCCCACCAGAAGCCCTGTGAACGCGAACAGGTTGTCCACCCAGCCGGGGATGGGCTCTCTCCACGAGCCACACACTAAGGGGGGAAGAGAAAAGGGGGTTAGATGCGGGTTCGAGATGGAAGGGGGGAGAGGGGGTTGAAATGAAGGGGGGATTGAGAGAAAGGGGGGAGGGGGTTGAAATAAAGGGGGAGGGGTTTAAGAGGAAGGAGAGGGGTTTAAGAGGAAGGGGGAGGGGTTGAAATGAAGGGGGGGGTTAAGAGGAAGGGAGAGGGGTTTAAGAGCAAAAGAAGAGAAGTTTAAGAGAAAAGGACAGAGGTTTAAGAGAAAAAGAAAAAGTTTTAAGAGAGAAAAGGAGAGAGGTTTAAGAGGAAAGGGGAGGGGGTTAAGAGGAGGGGGGAGGGGTTTAAGAGGAAGAGGGAGGAGTCCAGATGAAAGGAGAAGGGGCTCAGTTCCAGGTCCAAATGAAAGGTATAATATACTCATCACATTCAGTTTTTTTACGTGAATGCTGAAATGGCACTTAGTTCTCCTTAAATATCAACATCTGTTTACATTAAAGTAGTTCTCCTTAAATATCAACATCTGCTTAAATTAAACTAGTTCTTAAATATCAACTTCTGCTTAAATGA